ATGGGGCTCTCTTGGGGGCCTCTTGGGCGATCTTGGGGGCTTCTTGGGCCGTCTTGAGCCGTCGGAGAGCCGAAAAGGCGCAAATGCCAAAATCCTTCAAAAACCAATGGAAAATCAATGATTTTGGCCTCTTCGGACTCTCCTGGAGGACCTCTTGGAGGCCTCTTGGGCCGTCTGGGAGGCCTCTGGGGGGCCTCTTGGGCCGTCTTGGGCCGTCTTGGACTCTCTTGGGCCGTTTTGGAGGCCGTCTTGGACCATCTCGGGCGGACTTGGAGGCCATCTTGGGCCATCTTCGCGATTTTTTGAGGATGTCCCGAGCGAAACGGCCGTTCTTGGAGGATTTTTTGCGGTCGTTGAGCACGTTTGGGGAAATTCCGGGTGGCCGGCGGGTTCTGCCGGAGCCCACTGGGAAGTTCTTTTGGAAAAAGAACCAAAACCAAAACCTGAAACGTCCAGCACGCCGTGCACCCCTGCAAGCAGGGGGCGGCGGATCTACTTGCCTTCGGCATATCCCGCCACCGTGCCTGGGTTGTGGGAATGAGTCCTATTGGATGTTCGCTGGGATTTCTTGGGGGGGGGGCTTCTCGTGGGCCTGTTGGAGGCAATTTCGAAGCTTCATGGGGGCCTTTTTCGGAGCCTCCTGGGGCGTCTTGGGGGGGGGGGGGCTCTTGGAACCTCTTTGGTGCCTCCTGGGGCCTCTTGGGAGCCTCTTGGGCCGTCTTGGCGCCATCTTGGGCCGTCTTGGGCGCCCCCTGGGAGCTTCTTGGGCCGACTCGGGGCGGTCTTGGGGGCTTGTTGGGACGTCTTCAGCGCACACAGCGAAGCACAAAAAGACACAACAAACACAAAACAACACAAAAAATAGCTGCATGATGAAAATAACTCTCTGGGTTGGCACACACAACCATGGAGTAGATCTTGATTGCTTTTGGCGCCTGTTTCACACAGCTGGAGTCTCCCTCATAGGGCGCGCTGATGCAAACAGTTGCACTAAGCAGAGGTCCGGAGCCAGACCCCCCCCCCTTTCCGCCAATTGTCGAGACGCCGAATAAGAAATCGCTCACATGTGGATATTTTGGATTTCCCAGCGGCTGTTCGGGGCGATGCGGGCACCCCCAGAAAGCGCTCTCTCGGCGAGGCGAGGCTGCCGGGAGGCGTCCCCAGAGGCCGGAAGGCCGCCGGGCACCGACGGGAGGCGCCGGAGAGAGAACCTCGGCGAGCGGCCTTGCGGGGCGGCGGCGTTGAGCGCGGAGGAGCGCCCGGGGGCGGCCAAGGGGGTGGTGATGGCTAGGGTCGGCCTCGCGCATAGGGGGGTAAGGGGGATGGGGGAATGGCTCCTTAGAAGCACCCCTGCTGAGAAGGCGCTGGGGCCTTCTCTACAGATGTAAGGCCGGGGCCTTCTAAGAAGCAGGGGGCTTCTAAGAAGCCTTCCCCCCTCTCCCCAGTCGGGCACGTCCCCCTACTGGGGGAATTGTCACATGTTGTCAGAACAACAGTATAGGGGAAGATGTCTTTTTTGTTTGGTATCATTTTGGAGTTTTTTCTATTATGATGCATTTTTGTCCCAAGCCCGCCTGTAGCAGGGCATGCCCCACCCAAGATCAGGGAGGGGTGGATATCATGGCGGGGGCCATGTTATCTCCCCAGATCTCACGGCGCCTCTTCTTATATCACTGCGTCCCCGGCCCCCCCCCTCTGTGCTGCGCACGTGCCGCCAGCCGTGATCTGCGCCGCCCCCTCTCGTACGCCCTTCTTGTGGCCGCCCCCGAGAAGAGAGACAGGCGTAGATGCAAACGGGGGTCAGCCAGGACATTGCATCCCGCACGATCCTGCGAAGACCCCCCTCTGGCTGACCCGGGTTCGCGAGCCGCGAGCTGCGTCCCCGGCCGCCCCCCCCCCTTCTGGACCGCGCACGTGCCGCTGGACGTGATCTTGCGCCCCGCGCTCCTTGGGTCGCGAGAGAGAAAGAGAGGGAGAGAGCGGGCCTCAGGGGCCGACCAGGCGTATTCGAAATCCCTTAGCAATCGTCCCCCGGGTCCCGTTTTTCAGGCGCTTTTGTTGGAAGCGGGGGGATCCGGTCTATGAGGGCGCTTTCCTGAAACCGAAGACGAGAGGGGTCCGGAATATGAAGGCCCCGTTGACAGGCGGGTCGTAAAATTAGGTTGCCGTTGAAGGGGGGGGGTCGTTTTTTTTCCCTACCTAGGCTCTGCCTAGAAGGGTTCTTATTTTAGAGCTTAAAGGGCCGGGCAGTGGTCCTCGCCCCGGGCGGTTCCCCCAGGATCCGCCCCGCGGTTCCCCCAGTTACGTCCCCTTACCTTAGCGTTGCTGATCTCATCTTAGCTTAGCTTATTTTATCTTAAAGTATCAGATTTGTTAACACATTATTAATGTATGAATAAATGTATGCATGAATGCATCGTTGTTTTTAATATTACATCCCTGCATTTTTCCCCACCGAAGCTCTGCCTAGAAGGGTTCTTTACTCGCTTGGCTTAAAGGGGCCGGGCAGTGCAAACCGCCCTGGACGGTTCCCCCAGTCCCCTGGGAGCCAAGCAAAAGCAACAGCAAAGGTAAAAGCAAACGCGCGGTTCCTCCAGTTGCGCTCCCTGGGTGCCAAGCAAAAGCAAAAGTGAAGGCAAAAGCGAAGGCAAAGCAAAAGCAAAAGCATAGCATAGCACAGCATAGCATAGCGCAGCATAGCATAGCGCAGCATAGCATAGCCTAGCCTAGCCTAGCCCAGCATAGCATTGCGCAGCATAGCATAGCATAGTGTAGTGTAGCGTAGCGTAGCGCAGCACAGCATCCACTATTGCTGCTGCTATACACATGTATATATAAATATGTGTACTTATATGTACATGTGCGCATGTATGGAAATCAACACCAAACCAAAGCAAAACCAATGCAAAGCAAAAGTAAAACAAACGGAAAGTGTATATATATATATATGTGTCGATGTAGATGTAGGTTAGATGTGGATGTTGGTGTAGATGTAGATGTAGATGTAGATGTAGGCGTAACTGTAGGTGTAGATGTAGATGTAGATGTAAATGTGAGTCTCGCTGTTGATGTAGATGTAGATGTATATGCAGGTGTAGATGTAGATATAGCTGTAGATGCAGATGTAGATGTAGGTCTAGATGTAGATGTAGGTGTCGATGTAAATGTAGGTGCATATGTAGATGTAGATGTAAATAACTCCCCAGTGCCCCGCCCTCATCTCCGTGCCTGCTTGCTTTTGCTGCTGTCTCGGCGACTTGCTGCCTGCTTCTGCTGCTGCTTCACTTACAGCGTGGCGTCGGCGGTTCTGGCGCTACTACGACGAAAGCTACTACTACTACTACTGCTGCTACTACTACTACTACTACTACTACTGCTACTACTACTACTGCTACTGCTACTGCTACTGCTACTGCTGCTACTACTACTACTACTACTACTACGACTACTACTACTACCACTACTACTACTGCTGCTGCTGCTACTACTACTACTACTGCTACGGCTACTACTACTACTACTACTACTACTACTACTACGGCTACTACTACTACTACTACTACTACTACTACTACTACAACTACGGACTACTACTAGTACTACTACTACTACTACTACTACTACTACTACTACTACTACTACTACTACTACTACTACTACTACTACTACTACTACTACTACTACTACTACTACTACTACTACTACTACTACTACTACTACTACTACTACTACTACGACGACGACGACGACGACGACGACGACGACGACGACGACGACGACGACGACGACGACGACGACGACGACGACGACGACGACGACGACGACGACGACGACTACGACTACGACGACTACTATTACTACTACTACTATTACTACTACTACTACTACTACTACTACTACTACTACTACTACTACTACTACTACTACTACGACCGCTACTGCTACAGCTACGACGATGAGGAGAAGGAGGAGGAGGACGGCGTTTACCGCTCCTACTAATGTTGCATTCCTAGGGGCTCCAACTCCTAGGTAGGGTCGCACTGGGATAATTTTTTATTATTCAGGGATTTCGAGTGAGAGTGACCTTTCGCCAGAATGACCTTTTGGGTGCGGGCTCAATGATCGGGGAAACGTAAGATTCGAGTTCGCCGGAACTCGGGTTTGCCGACGCTTTTTGACGAGCGCGTTTGGATTTTGGCGGTTCAGTGTCCGTTGGATGTTTGCAGCGGGAGGTCGCATTAAATGTCAGACTGGGCCGCGTCATTTCCATCATGGCCCAGTCGGGCCAACCCGAGTCGCCCTGACCCGAGTCCTACGTCTCCCCGAAATGTGGTCCCCCGTTCATTGTGACGCGAGGCGGTAGCGGCGGCTTGCGCGCTTTCGGCTCCTTCACCCCCCCCCCCGCCCCGCCCCCCCCCCCCCTTTCAAGTCAAGGGAGGAAGAACCACCCGGACCTGAGAAGTGGCGTTCCCTAAGCGGCTTTGGGCGTTTCCTAAACAGCGCTGCCCTGTTCGATCTCTTGTTTGGGTGCGTTTACTAGACGGCTCCGCGTGTCGGGGTGCTTGTTATGAGGGTGCACTGTGTGCTCTCTACTAAACCAGACCCCCGACGTCATGATTGTTTCACAACGTCGACCCCCAGAGGTCTCGACCCATCCCCTGGGACCGGTTCCTCATCGTGAGCCGCTCTTTCACGGTCCTGGAGCCCTTACCGGGCCCCCAGAGGCCGAACATCGTGAGAAATTTCCCGTCGTGATTTCTTCAGGGGGTCTGGGCTGAATCCGCGCTCGACAGGGCACCCTTGCCTGGGGTCACTCTTGCGTTAAGTCGGGCGTGTCCCTCGACAGGAGGAATACTCAAAAATAGTCAAGCAATAGTCTGGAGATAATGTTTCTATTTTTGTTTGACTAATTGGGAGTATTTGTTGGGTATATGCTATTTTTCGTCCAAAATCCGCCTGTAGGAGGACACGCCCGACCTAACTCTTGCGTGCAGCCGCAGGGGCCGGTGCGCCGTCATGACGGCGGCGCACGTGCTGCCCTCGCGCGGCGCCGCCGGGGCGGCGCGGGTGGCGTTCGGCTGCGAGCGCGGGAGCGCGGCGAGGAGCGCAGGGGAGGTCGGAGGGTAAGAGGAGGAGGAGGAGGAGGAGGAGGAGGAGGAGGACGAGGACGAGGACGAGGAGGACGAGGAGGACGAGGAGGAGAGGAGGAGAGAAGAGGAGGAGGAGGAGGAGGAGGAGGAGAAGGAGGGAAGGAGGTGGAGGAGGAGAAAGGAGGAGGAGGAGGAGGAGGAGGAGGAGGAGGAGGAGGAGGAACAGGAGGAGGGGGAGGAGGAGGAAGAGGAGGAGGAGGAGGAGGAGGAGGAGGAGGAGGAGGAGGAGGAGGAGCGCAGGGAAGTTCGGATGCAGCTCCTGGGAGGTCGAAGTCTGATTTTACCCTGCTCCGGAACCCAGACCCCCTCGCGTTTTGAAAAAAATCACGGCGGGAGGTTATTCCCTATTTTCGGCCTCTGGTCACCACCCAACAAACCACCCTAACCCAACCCGAAGGCTCAGATTTACCCTCGATTTCTAGTGGGGGGGGCGTCTTGAGGCTGTCTTGAGGGCCTCTTGGGCCGTCTTGTAGCGCCGAAGGGAAATCAGTGGTACTCGCCTCTCGGGGGCCCCTTGGGAAGGCTCCTGGGGCTCTCTCTCTGAGCGCATCGGAGGCTCCTTGGGCCGTCCTGGAGCCATCTTGGGCGGGAGATGATAATCATGAGGAGAGGGAGGAGGAGGAGGAGGAGGAGGAGGAGGAGGAGGAGGAGGTCTCCCGAACGAAGTGAACCCCACCCTCCCCTCCAGAACTCGTGGGGGGTAGGGGTAGGGTTCGCATGTCCTCATCGTGCCACGGGGGCACGGTGGCGTTACAGTCACGGTCGTATAGCCTGGCATCGCTAGGACGTGTGTATATTCTTCTCGGCGAGGACCCTTGAGGAACATCCTGGATCAGCGAGCGAAGAAAAACACGCACGAAACCGAAAAAGTGCACGGGAAATGGACGTTCGAGCGACGGCAAGATAGCGACGCTGAGAGCCCGGCGAGGAGAGAGTGCCAGTTCGACGCCCGCCTCTTTGTGACCAACCAGCGGCTCGACTACACCATCGTCGGGCGGGGGCGCAGGGGCCGCGCGCCGATCCGTGATCGATCGTGGATGGCGACTACAGTCAACGCGCCTAGTAAGGACGCGCGCCTTCATCTAGGGTACCCTTGTGTCCTTGCCTCTGAGGCCCGTCCTTGCCATTATCACTGGTCGCCCGCCGCCCAAAAAAATCCCAACTTCGGCCTCCAAGGGTCTTGCGTCCTTATCACCCGTCCTTACTATACGTTTTCATTGTATCAGGCGATCGCAAACATGGAGCAATGGAGCGTGGATTAGCGAGGGGCCCCGTTTCCATAGGAACTCGCGGGTTTCCGCCGCCGAGCGAGGCGGCACCGGCCGCATTTTGGGGAGGGCACCTCCCCCGGTTCGCGGATTTGGCGACCGCGCGCCAGATCCATGGATCGCTAATCTTTGGCCACGCGCAGAGGGGGGTAGAGGGTGGGGGAAGGCGTCTTAGAAACACGCCTACGTCTTGGAAGGCGCGGGCCTTCTCTATAGATGTAAGGCCCGCGCTTTCTAAGAAGCAGCCTCCTTCTAAGAAGCCTTCCCCCCTCCCCCTACCCCCCTCTGCGCGCCGCCAAAATCCACGTTTGCGCCCCCCGAGACTACGACGGCGGCGGCGGCGGCGTCGGCGGCGACGACGACGAAAAATCGTGCATCGTCGGCGTCCTTCTGGGGCCTCCGGAGGCCTTCGGGGGCCTCCGGGCGCCTCGCCCAGAGAATCAAGCGCGGCACCACAACACCCACGGGGCCCGCCGTGCTGCGCCACGACCCTTCGGGGGCCGCAGCGTTCAGTCGGGCATGTCCTTCTACAGTTCTGGAGGGAGATCAAGGGAGAAGAAGCATGTTGCCAAATACTTTCCAGATGTCTAAATCATGTCGCAAACAGGTTTTAAACATGTTTCAAGCATGTTAAAAACATGTTTAGAGCATGTTGCCCACATTTTAGGCACATTTACTATTCAATGATAGGATTGTCAGGGTGGCCATTATCGTGGCATCCACAATTCTACATGAGGAGCATTCACAAATAGTCCAAAGCTGTGTGTTTTTCTTCCAAAGCCCACCTGCAGGAAGCAATGCCCGACCTAGCCGCAGCGTATACCATGCTGGTGTACGCGAAGTGCCCTGGGGCCGTGGGTGCGGTGGTGTCGTTTGTTGTTGTAGTCCAACGCGCTTCTGCCGCTTCTGCAGGTCTCGTCTTATGGTGTTCCAACCTGCTTTAGCATTGATCTTCAGAAAGAAAATCGAAGAAAGCACTGTTCCGTTACTCGATCGACACTCGTTCGTTGTTGTGTCGATATTCGTTCGACAGTGCTTCGATATTTTTTGAGGGTTCATAATGATAATTAATTCTGGAATGTTGTCCTTAAGTACAATGGGAGCAACATAAGTCCAACGCGCTTCTGCCGCTTCTGCAGGTCTCGTCGTCGTCGTCGTCGCCGTCGCCGTCGTCGCCGTCTCCAGAGGCATCCGGAGACCTCGGGAGACCCTGGGGGAGCGCCGGGTCTTGCCTCTCTGACGCTACGAGCTCTGACGAGCTCGAGTCTTGCCTCCCCTGGGCTTTTCGGGGGGCTCCCCCGCGGCCACAGTTGGGAGCAGCTCACAGAGATGGTCGGGAAGATGCTTGGAACGGATCGGACGGGGCCAGGAGTAAGTCGGGCATGTCCAGGAGGCATATTCAAAAACAGTTATAAAAATGGTCTGGGGACGATTTTTCTGCAATTTTTTACTATTTCAGTGTTTTCTGTTCCAAAAGCCGCCTGTAGGAGGACACGCCCGACCTAAGACCAGGACGAGGATGAGTCCGTTCAAGAGCGTCCTGAACGCGTTTCAGAGCGTTCCGGAACGCTCTGAGAAGGCCGTGGCGCCCGAGACATCCTCCAGAGCCGCTGGCTGTCAGAGATTCTCGATTTTTCCCCACCCGATTGGATCCTCGTCCTGGCTTCGTCTGAACGGGTCTGCGTCGTCGGCGTCGTCGCCGACGCTGGGGGGGGAGCTCGAGGTTGCGGCCTGAACCGGGCCGACCTTGAGCGATCTGCGCAGTTTCAGGGACCAGCGTCCACGTGCGACAGGAACCACGCAGAAAAGAGTTGATGAGAGGTATGCCACCGTCATGGTCGGTGCTTGTTGGTTGGCAATGTGATCGAGGCTCCGTAGACAGTCTGGCTCAAGCCAGGCGCAACCCGACAGCGCAAGCATAGACTTCATTACTTCATCTGCGCGTGCGGTGCTGAATGGTATGCCAGGACGCAATCTCGTTTTGTCTCACTATGTAATTGCCGATGTGTCATGGCTTGCGCATGAAATCACAGGTCGCAAATGTATATCAGTGATGACGGATTCGGAACCTGACCACGTGGACATGAGTGATCAGATATTCGTCGTCAAGTATTCAGCAGCGGGCCGACTTGAAAACGAGATGCAGCGACTCGTCAATATATTCGTGTACGCAATAGACAAGGGATATGAAACAAACCACGTATCCCAGGTATAGCTCGGCAATTTGATCAGCTGCAGCGTGTTTAATTTACCAGATTTGATCACACTTTCCGACGCCGTGAAGTCTCCTGACGGAGTGCTTGAAGGGTGCGCGGGATTTCTGGCACGGTTCACGCAACGTGTGGATCGCGTACTGGCTCAAGATCACGCAACAGCTCTTAGCTATCATTTGGCCGCCTAATGATCGCTTTGTTCGCGGCCTTTCTCCGCAGAAGTTTCACCGCATTGTCACCTGCTTCTCCTCGAGCTGACAGACGGCGCCGCGGAGAGTCAGCGAGCTGGCAGGCCGCAGTCAGTGTGCAGCGGGCTCGGGGGCATTTAGCATGGCTTCTGGAGCGCCGGCAACGCAGAACAGGAGGGGGTGTTGGAGAGGGAAGAATGGGGAACAGTAACTAGGGGATGATGCCGAAGACAGCGTGTTCTCATTATCGTGAGTGTGGGGTTCTGGTTTGCAGCGTCCCCGCATCGTCCTTTCATGTCCCATCCCTGCCGCGCTGGCAGCGCGAAGGCGGCCCGGAGCGACCATCCCAAGTTTGTTTCCCCCTCGGTCTGGGTCTTGGGTTGCGGCTCGCAGGCCGGGGGGGAGTTTCATTTGCATGGGACTCCGTTCTCTGCTCGCCCTGGGGCGGTTTTGGAACGTGCATCCAGATTGGGAGGGATGGGGCAACAGAAGTTCCACCGCATTGTCTCCTGCCTCTCCTCGAGCTGACAGACGGCGCCGCGGAGAGTCAGCGAGCTGACAGGCCGCAGTCAGTGTGCAGCGGGCTCCGGGGGATTTTATGCGGGGTTCTTATTTCCAGCGTCACCGCATCGTCCTTGCCAGTCGCATCCTTGCACCTCCCGCATTCCGTCGGTCAATCACATTGTGGTGCTTGGAGGAGATGCACGGTCGCTCCGCTCGGGCTAGGATTCGCGAGTGCCTTGTTTGGGTGTGTTTAACACCGTGGTGCCGTGAGGATTGTCACGGCCGCTGTTTGACTCCTTATCCATGAGAGGTGTGGATGAAGAAGACAAGTCAGGGGGGCAGAACCAGGTAAACCGCTTGAGACATCCCCCAAATCTGGGGGTGAACGGGCGAACGTCATACCCCCTGGCGATTCCCCCGTGGGCTGCACGAGTGCCACGCCTGCTATGTCGCGGTGATGAGTGGACAACCAAAAGAGACACGTCAGGGGTTCCTCCTCCTCCTCCTCCTCCTCCTCCTCCTCCTCCTCCTCTGTCGAGGGCCTGCCCGCGGCGCGTTCGCCCAGCGGCATTTGGTCGCGTCGCGCGGCCCCTCGGCCGGCCCTGGCTGTCTCCCAGCTTGCTGCGGGGTGCCGGGGGCGCGCGTCCCTTCGAGCGGGGCCTCCCCGTCGTCCTGTTTTCCCCTTCTTACACTAGGGAAGCGAAGAGTGACATGAGCATAATACCTCGGAGGTCCGCGCGGATTTCTCGGGTCGGCGCTGGGGCCCCCTGGCGCGCGCACGCGCCAGGGCGGGTGGTCCCTATACAGGCACTGCGTCGTGGTCTGGCGCGCGCCCGCCGCGCTGGCAGCGCGAAAGCGGCCAGGAACGACCATCTCAAGTTCCCCTCGGTCTGGGTCATGGGTTGCGGCCCGCAGGCCGGGGGGAGTTTCATTTGCATGGGACTCTGCCCTCTGCTCGCCTTGTGGCGGTTTTGGAAAGTATATTTTCTGCAGGCGCAGTAAATCCGGATTGGCAGGGCTGGGGCAACAAAAGTTTCACCACAGTGTTTCTTGCTTCTCCTCGAGCTGACAGACGGCTCTGCGGAAGGATTGCCACGGCCTCATTTTGACGCCGCTTCGATGAGAGGATTGAGAATGAAAAGACGAGTCAGAGGGGCAGAACCAGGTAAACCGCTTGAGACACTACAATTTGGGCGGGAACGGGCGAATGTCATACCCACTGGCGGTTCTCCCGTGGGGTGTACAAATGCCACGCCCGCTATATCGCGGTGATCAGTGGACCACCCGCAACAAGTTTTGGAGGGCAGAACCAGGCGAACCGCTTGAGACATCCCCACAAGCTAGGCGCAAATGGGCGAGTGTCATATCCCCTGGCGGTTCCTCTCGTGGGTGCCCAGGTGCCATGTCTGCTGTATCGCGGTGAGCAGTGGACCATCATAAGAGAAACATCTGAATGTGTATGATGGGATATGCGTCTGAGTTGTCTCCTTGAGTGGGTCTGAGAGAGTCTGAGTGAGTTTGATTGAGCGAATCCGAGTGCGGAAGAGATGTGGTTGTCTCTGCGTGAGGGACAGTGAGTTTGTGATGGACCCCGTGTAGGAAAGTAGGTCTGAGTGATCTGATTATGAGTATCGGGGTGAGAGTGAAAAATGAGGAAGAGGAGAAGGAGAAGAAGACGGAAGAAGGTCCGGAGGCGTCCAAGTAGTAACAAGAACCCCGTCTTAGGAGATTGGGAATAATACCGCGCGGGCCACACTCGCATGCCACCACGCGCGCGTGTCGAAATTTGTCCCAAGCCATTGGTTGTCGATGCATGTGTTCCCGATGTATCACACACAGAAAACAACGGTCGATCGTCACAACATCTGCCAGGTGTCGTGAATTTCCGCGCGCGCACTTCCTCCGCATCACCCTCACCACTGCCGCCGCATCACGTCATTGCCATCGACATCCGCCGCCATTGCTGCCATCATTACTCGAGCACCTTCGTTACCGACATCTGGACATCGTCATCGTCATCGTCGTCACCAGCACCGGTGCCGTCAGTGGCCTTGTCGTCGTCATCGTCATATCGCCATCACGTTACCATCGGCATCGTTGCCGTCATCATCGACGTCATCATGATACCGCGCCCGCCCGAGTAGCCGACCCGCGAAGTCGCCCGAGTAGCCGACCCGCGAGTTGCCACGGGTGATCGGTCGTGCCAAACAAGTTGGTCGCTCTGCGCGCGAGCCTGCGCGCGCAAGCGCAGCCGCAGAGGTGCGCCAGTCAGTGCCAAGGAGTCACCTCAAGCGCGGCCGCATGGATTGTGCAAAACATGTTGCGGGTGGGAGGGTGGGATTATTGGGCGAGCAGTGGAATTGACAGTTCGCCCAAGACTTCTTTATGCCTTGCACCACTTGGCTTACACCACATAGGTTTCGCAGCATAACTTTCACCACGCAGTTTACACCACATAGCCTGTTCCACACGGCTGGACCCCACCACCACACACTAACTCACACAGACACATAAGTACGCACACAATATACTGCTTATGCCACGTGGCCTGCACTTCATTGGTTGCGCCGCGTAGACTGCATCACATGTCTTGCACCTCGCGGTGTATACAAGCAGGGGGGATCCGAACACACCCCAACGTGCACAAGGGACGATGCCAGATTTGTCTGGCAGGGATTGCATGAGTTGCGTCTTCCCTCCGTGGAGGGTGGGACGTTCTGTGGGAAGCACCAGTTTGTAGCGGTTCGCGGTGATGCGTGTTTGCATGGCCTCTTGTTTGTGGAAGTGCAGGCTCGTTGATGCTGACGGCCTCGTGCCGCTGGAAATCGGCGATGCAGGCCGTGCTGGTATGGTTGGTTCCGAATCGGTGCAGATTGCCATGCACGCGTGTGTGTTGGGGAGTCTCGGTTCACGGTTCAGTCGCGTCGGAAAGCCCACAGTTTATGATTTGTTTGACATTGCCAACGAATTTTTTCCATTGCGTGATCAGGCAGGCCCAGTCGCTCAATTGATTTGTTCACGCATGCTTTGGCAGTTGAGCAATCGATATTCGCCAATAGCGTGCTGTCGTGCTCTCTACCTTCTTTCTCATTCCCCAGCCAATCTTTGCCAGTTTTGAATCGACCGCATCAGAACTTCTAGTGTTCGTGTCTTTCTTCTGAACGATGCCGTCGTAGGCGTGTCTGGTCTGCCATCTATGCCGCATTCCAGAAGTTGTCGTATCGGAAGGAGTCCTGCATGTTTGCATTCAAATGGTACATGCCGTGGGTCACATGACTGTTTCTAGCGATGGTATCAGATGGCACACTTGCATGACGTTCGGCATGGTACGCTATCAACATGCCTGAGTGGGATTGGCATCTGCTAGAGGGTAGATGCTACAGCAGTGTTGCAACTGGATTCAGCAACAACTTATCCGTGCGATCAGGGAGTCAATTGTGGGGAGGTCCAGGAGACATTGTGACCATCGCTGGTCACGCCAACGGGTGGCCTCGTGTGGTTTCGACGTCGAAGGTCAAGGAGGTGGACGAACATTACTTATACTACGGCCCAGCCACTCTCTCTTTGTCCAGTGCTCCGCCGCTGCTACGGGGCAGGATTCAGTCTCTTTCTACCGAATAGCTTTCGGCCTATCCCGCCACCGTGCCTGCGTTGCGGGTCAGAGCCCTCAGGGATGATTCTTGGGGTCTCTTGGGGCGGCTCTCGGGTTCCTCTTGGGGGTAAGTTTCGGGCTTCTTGGGGGCCTTCTGAGGGGCCTCTTGGGGGCCGAGAGCTCGAAATGTTCATTTGGGTCTTCCGTCGGGGCCACCTCTTGGAGCCGTCTTGGGGGCGTTTGGGGCCGTCTTGGGCGTCTCTTGAGCCGTTTCGGGGCCATCTTTGGCCGTTTTGGGATTTTCTTGGAGGCTTCTTGGACCGTCGTGGGGCGATTTTGGGGGTCTCTAGGGCCGTCCTGGAGCGTCGGGATTCAGCAAAGGCGAGAACGCCAAAACTTGTAAACCACCCACGGTACAACAATGATGTGTGCCTCTTGGGATGCCTTTTTGGATGTCTTTTGGGGCGTCTTCGGGGCATCGTCGGTCGTCTGGCGGCCATCTCGGGCGCCTCGGACCGATCGTTCGTCGACTCAGAACCCTCTCCGGCCGTCTGTGGGGCCTCTTGCGCGGTCCTCGTGGCCCGTCTTGGAGCTTTCGTGGAGTACCAACAGCTCAGGCGACATACCCAGGTAGGGTGTACGACCGCCTAGGAAACTGGGGGCCTGGGCCCTTAATAACACGTGAGAGCCACAAGCCCTCTATTTTGCAGAGCTGAGTGAGCCTGGGGGGACCCCTTCTACGTACCGAGGGCACGGTGGCGGATATTGTATGCCGAACGGTCATTCGTTGACCCTGGGTGCGTGGCTGAAGTAGGGTTTCGCGGTGCGGATTGTTGTTGCGTTGTTGCGTTGTTGCGTTGTGTTGTTGTGTTGTTGTGTTGTTGTCGTCGTCCTCGCCCGCGACCCGCCTCCGACCCACCTGAGATCCACACCGCCACCCACCTTGCGACCCACCCGCGACCCACCCACGTTGCTTGACGATAAAAATCGGCGCCTGCGGCGGGATGTGTAAAAAAGTCGGCGTTTGCTACGGGCTTCTTTAGAGCTTCGCAGACTGCCGACGGCCCCGCCGCCCTATCACCATTCTCCGCAACATGGGGAGTTCCATGTATATCAGAGTCAGGAGTCCTCGTCTCTCTCTCGCTTTCTCTCTCTCTCTCTCTTCCCCCGCCCTCGCGGGGAGTATAATGTATCTCGATGGATGGCAAAGGCTTGAGCGCCCCCGCCACTGCGGCCCCCCCCAAAAAAAACAAATGTATATCAGAGTGAGGAGGCCAGACGGTCATTTACAGTCCCTGGGTGCATGGTTGAAGTGGCGTTCCGCGGTGTTATTGCGTTGTTGCCTTGCTGGCCCCCCCTGCGACCCACCCGCGACCCGCCCACGTTGCTTCGGCGGGCTCGTCGTTGTGTGAGGTGTATCGGAATCGGCACCTGCGCGAGCTTCTGCAGAGCTTCGCAGACTACCGACGACCCCGTCGCCCCCTCACTCTCATCCACACTTGCAAGGTGCTATGTACATTCGTGTACCTATACATCTATATATAATAAACAAATAAATGAATAAATCAATACATAAATTGTAGTGGCCTCCGGCCAGTGCCGCCGATCCGGGGGCGTTCCCGATGCTATCTGGTTGGTGGAGGGGGAGGTGGAGGAGTAGGTGGAGGATGAGGCGGAGGGAGGTGGAGGGAGGGATTGCCTCACGATGGCCCAGACTGCCTAAGCAGCCCCCAAGAGGCTTCCAAGACGGCCCAAGAGGCCTCCGAGTGGACCTCCAGGAACGCCCGAAGTGGCCCAAACCACTGATTTCCTGTAGGTTTTTGAAGGATTCGGGGGTTTCTTCCTTTTTAGCTTTCCGAAGGCCCAAGACGGCTCAAGAAACCATCAAGATCGCCCCAAGAGCGCCCGAGCGGCCTCCAAGATTGCCCCAGGACAGCCCAAGAGGCCCCCGAAGACGGCCCCAGGAGGGCCCAGAAACGGTCCCAGATTGCCGCCAAGATGGCCAAGATGGCCCAACATTGCCGACAGGATGCCCCCAAGACGGCCAAGATGGCCCCAAGAGAGCCCAGGATGGCCCCAAGATGTCTCCAAGACGGCCCAATATTCACCTAAGCCGGTCCAAGATGGCCTCAAGTTGTGCAAATACGGCGCAACAAGCCCCCACGCGGCTTCCAAGACGGCATTAGAGTACCCAAGAGGACCTCCAGGAAGGCCCGAAGAAACCAAAATCACAGATTTCCTTTTGGTTTTCGAAGGATTTGGGTATTTGCTCCTTTTCGGCCTTCCGACGGCCCAAGACGGCCCAGGAGGCCTCTAGGATGGCCCCAAGAGCGTAGCCATTTTGGCTCAAGCCAATTTGGTTCAAGCATGTTGGCCTCGAGCCGTAGTTTCGAAGCACAGTTTGTTGTGAGATTGGCTACAAGTTTATGGTCGACCACTGATTCCACAAAGATGACTTACCGATTGGCTGTTGAGAGGTAACCTTATGTTGTTGTGCGAGGCACAGGCCAGGATATTCAAATCAGGGGGTACATCCAGGTTCATACAAGGAGTTCTCCGGCTGGTCTTGCAAGCGCACCACTTCAATGACATGTTGCACGAAGTACCTGCGTCTATAAGTACAGAAGCATTCAGAGACAACCCCCTTAACCGTTTGGTGCAGGTAGAGCGTGGCAGGGTTTTTACAAATTTAGCACGTCAAATCGATGCTGGTATACACCCGACTTCGATGTTCGAAGACCCTGTTTTTAACAAGTGTGCTAACGGGATCCGGCGAACAGCTCACCAGAGCGAATGCGATTGGCGTCGTGATGGCCTGCGGATCAAATGCAAGAGTTCTCAGATGCCTTTGTCTTCTTCTGAACAGCGATGGAGAATCAGGTTTTGCGGGGTCAAGCTTGCATACCAGGCTGTGAGAGTAATTCCTGCGTTCGACGAGTTGTTTCTTGTGCTATTCCCCCCGAGCCACTTGTATTTTTACATTCGCAGTGGAACCTTGGGTGTTACGACCGTTGGTCGGGAAATGACGCATTCAAGAGGACATGACATTGAGTTTGGTGGCCCCCGTGGTGAAGGGAACTGGGACAGGGCCTTGGTGAAGATATTGCGGCACTTGGACTGCATGTCTAATAGTTGTTCCCGTTTGGCAGTGATGGAATGCACAGATCCACGCGTTCAAGGATATTGCAGCTTGATTTTTCGAAGTTCAAGGAAGACATCTATGTAGACAGCCCTCTGGGCAGAGCATCGCCCGTGGAGCGGGGTCTTCGAATCGAATCGCTGGCTCGTAAGGTGGAATCCATGGTGCACGACGGGTCGGTCATCACGGATGCAGATCGCAGTAGCAGAGTGCGGTGCGATTGGAAGCGGGGTGATATGCGCATTGAGTGCAAGAGTTCCAGCTTGCAATGGGAGCGTTCTCGTGAGTGCTGGAGTCTTCGCTTTACGGGAATAGAAATGGCTGGTTGCCTTGGCGGCAGCATACGCGGTTTCGATGAATTGCTTCTCTGTGTATATACACCGAGGGGTATTTATATCTATCGCCACGACCTTGCCTTGGGTATGTCATCGAGCGGTCATATCACGAAGTGGAGCGGGCATCAGGTCCGATTATATGGCCCTCGCAAGCAGTATGAGTGGCAGACAGCCCTCAACGCGCTCCTTTTGAAGCTTGATGGTTCAGGGTGCCAGCGAATAGCCTGGATTCGTTGGTAGGAAAAGGTGTAACATGTTCGTGTTACCAATGACTTTCGGAATAGGCGCGAACCCCAAACTTGGTCGGAGGCGGGACGACATGCAGGGTGTCAGACGTTCATCCTGGAGCCCAACATTTTATTGGGAATTGGCGCCGTTGGAGATCCAAACGAGGCATAGTCTGCCCGGAAGCACGGGCAGTCTTTTCAGACTTGCTTCAAGCGGACCCAGAAGCGCAGCACACGGATCGTTGACGGCAGGGGGGGCCAGTTGCAGCAAACGGTTTTGTAGCAGTGCCTCGGCATTTTGGCGTTTCACCATTCTTCGTTGTCAGCTGCAGGAGCCGCCGATGTTTTGGGTATTCCACTCTGATAGGGGTAGTGTTTCGTTGACCGGCTGTCACGCTAACCGCTAGATGTTACCGAAGTCGAGTTCGGACAGAGGGCGTGACCGAAAAAAAAAGCGCCCAGGAGGCCTCCAAGATGGCTTCAGGACCGCCCAAGAGGCTCCCGAGACGGTTCCAAGAGGTCTCCAAGATGGTCGAACATGGCCTCCAAGCATGCTGAGATGGCCTCCGAGACGGCTCTGAAGCTCCTCAAGAGGGCCCAAGTCGGCCCAGAGAGGCTCCCAAGACGTCTTCCGACGACGTCAGACGGGCCCAGAACGCCCTAAGATTGCCAAAGAGGCCCCCAAGAAGATTTCGACGACCCTCAAGAGGCCCAAGAAGGCTCCCGAGAGACCTCCAAGAGGCCTCAAGGAAGCTCCCAGGAGGCCCCAAAAGTGACCCAACAGGCTCCCGCGAGGTCTCCCCCGAAGAGGCGATTTTGAGGGCACTCCCAGGGGGACTTTAATGAAGGATCCCCCTTTTTGATGGATATCCTTCGAGATCGCCCCAGGGACGAGCCCAAGGCACCGACGACGGTCCCAAGAGATTCCTAAGAGGACTCCGGAAGCTCCCAAGTTTGTTCCAAGAGGGCCCCGATACTGTGCCAAGATGCCTCCAAGAGGCTCCCAGAGCGATATTTCCCGCGTTTATGGGTGACTCCCGTCGTCTTCGTCGTCGTCGTCCTCGTCGTCGTCGTTATCGTCGTTGCCCCCCCGAGCCTGGCGCTGGGGGAGGGTGGAGGGGGGAGGCTGGATCATAAGGAGGAGGGAGAAGGAGGCGGAGGAGAGGGAGGAAGAGGAGGAGGCATGAGGAGGGAGGAGGGGGGACGAGTTGGGAAGACGAGGGAGGAGGCGGAAGGATGAGCAGGAGGATGGAG